TAATGCGGAGCTCGACCCCAGGACCCTGGGATCATGACCTGAGCAGAAGGCAGAGGCTTTAACCCACTGAGCCACCCAGGTGCCCCTAGTACCTACCTTTTATAGCTGTGCTGAATGCATTCACTAAGTGTTAGCTTGGTTTATCATTACCATCTCTAGAAGATCCAGGTAGCCCCTTGTACATCAACAGTCTGCAGCTAACACTAAATTCTCTGTTATCCCATGCCCCATCTACTTCCTGTGTTCAGAATCCCGAACAAGTACACCACTTTGAGGAAGGTATTTTTGGACGTGGAGGTAAAGGAACTGCCCCCATATATAAAATGTGCCCTAGTTCCCTGGGCTCATGCTCATGTCCATTTCCTCCCAATGCACTGACAATTTCCTTGTGTCTGGAAAGACAATAAATGCAAGATAGGCTTCCAAACACATTTCAGTAAATTTCACTCTGTTATTGCTCCAGCCAACTTCAAGGGATTGATGCCCAGCATCTAATAGGAAATCCTAGATAGGAGTCATTTTTTATGTACAATACTGCATTTTCTCTCAAACTGATCTTGTGTGAATTTCTAGTTAGGGTGGTAATAATCTGCTTGCAGCCACACCACCTTGCAAGTAATGTGTGTTAGATATTTTTTTTAAAGATTTTATTTATTTATTTGACAGAGAGAGAGATCACAAGTAGGCAGAGAGGCAGGCAGAGAGAGAGGAGGATGCAGGCTCCCCGCTGAGCAGAGAGCCCAATGCGGGCCTCGATCCCAGGACCCTGGGATCATGACCTGAGCCGAAGGCAGAGGCTTTAACCCACTGAGCCACCCAGGCGCCCAGTGTGTGTTAGATATTATCATCATTATGTACTAGGCATTTGAAACAGCCAGGCAAGTATTCTAACGTAGAAGTCAGAATTCTGGGAGCCATTGAGGTAGACCCATTCCAAAAATTCAACCTGAAAACATCGAGGCCTGTTAGTCCCACTTACAACTAACCAGAGACAACAGGCCCATTAGTGGATAAGGATGATTTTGCGACTGCCCCAGTGGTCCTAGGAAGCCTGTAGTATTGACAAATCTGTGGTGTTAATTTGAGTGGAAGATCCACCCAAGTACATCTGCACCACCCCAATGTCCTTCATAGTACATCCAAAGTAGTAGATGTGGTCTTATGGCAACTCCCAATTTATGGCCCAGTTCTAGAAGAAACTGTCAGGGCCCTTAGTATCTACTTATCACTGAAAACTACGTGGAGCATGGTACTGACTGGGTGGATGGAGAACCTCTTACACTATCTACCCACAAAATGATGAGTTCATCTACCTTGCCACAGTGTGGTTTGCTTATCAAGAACTCATTGCCTCCCCCTACCCAGAACATGCTCACTCACAGTAGCTGTAGCATGATTCTTCCCTAGAGCTCACCACCCTTCACCCCAAGTGGCTTCCAAAACTTGGCAGCTGGGAGAAACTATGGGTTACCAAAAATATCTTCTAGCTTGCCAAAAATCAACCCAAAGAGTGTCCCAACTGGTGCTTGATTCAGGAGGAAGGCATCCAAATGGGTGATACTGCCCAGCACACCTCCAAGTACACAGTAACCATTTATATGGAAAGCTGGGAGCCTACCACTTAGAAACTGAGATAATAGAGAACATCACTCAGCTGTACCCTCACAGTCTGAGGCCTCAGGACCAGACAAAGAGCTCGTACAATTATCTGCACCCAGACCAGTAATTACTCACAGTCAAGGTCCCGTTGCCCACAAGGAATATGCTCTTACTCTTTCTCCTCAGAACATATCTACTTGGCCACACACATTCTGGCACCCCCCACCTTGCCCAAAGTCAAATGACACTGCTTCTGGGAACTGGTCCCTCATTGCTGTAACCTGTGATGAAGTACAGATCAGCCCCCGGATTCAGTTCAGGCTTCCAGAACTCTATATTCTGGCACCTGTCCAAATCTTCAGCTGTCAAAGGAGGGGTTTCAAACAGTGCTCCACTCTGGCAGGATCATTCTCAAAGAATGGGGTGCAAAAGTGGGGAAGGAGGGACAGAAAAGAATAGGTGGGGTCAAGCCAGAATGAAGGGAAAAGCAGGAGCTGGGGAAATACTCTAGAAGAGAGGCATCCCTGTTCACCAGAGGTGAGTCTGTGATCGAAACAATTTCCAGAGAATAGCAAACTTTGGCCCAATTCCTGACAAGCTCAGGATTCTGAGATGCAAGTCAAATCTAGCCTGCTGAAGCAGAACATGAATTTATTGAAAGAATATTGGTGGGATAACATCAAAGTAAACGACTCTGTGAGGCAAAGGAAACAAAATGAAAAGGCAGCCTACCAAATGGGAGAAAAGAGTTGCAAACCATATTTGATAAAAGACTAATATCCAAAATACATGAGAAACTCCTCTAACTCAAAAAACTGATTAAAAATTGGCATAAGATCTGAGTAGACGTTTCTTCAAAGAAGACACATGTATTGCCAACAGACATATTAAAAGATACTCAACATCACTAACCTTCAGGGAAATTAGAACCACAGTGAGATACCACCTCACACCTGTAAAAGTGGCTATTGTTTAAAAAAAAAAAAAAAAGATAACATGTTGGTGAGGATGTGGAGAAAATGGGGAACCCTTGTACTCTATTGATGGGAACGTACACTGGTGCAGCCACTATGGAAAACAGTATGGAGGTTCCTCAAAAAAGTAAAAGTAAATCCTATTTCTGGATATGTATCCAAAGGAGTTGAAATTACGATCTCAAAGAGATCTCTGCACTTCCATGTTCATTGCAGCATTATTCACAGTAGCCAAGACATGGAAGCAACATAATGTCCATCCATGCACACATGGATAAAGAAATGGGGTACACACACACACACACACACCATGGAACATTATTCAGCCTTAAAATTAAGAAGGAAGTCCTGCTATTTGCATCAACATGGTGAACCTGGAAGACATGCTAGGTGAAATAAGGAAGACAAAGACAGACAAATACTATGTCACCTTTTATATGAAGAATCTAAAGTAATCACACTTGTAGAAGCAAAGAATAGAATGGTGGCTGCCAGATGTTCATGGGGAGGAAGACATGGAGGGGCAGTAGTCAAAGGGTATAAAGTCTCAGTTACATAAGATGAATAAATCCTAGAGATCTGCTGTACGTTAGAGAACCTATAGTTAATACTGCATTATATACTTAAAAATTCCTAAGAGCACAGATCTTCTGTTAAATGTCCTTATCACAAAATTAATAATAATAAAGATGGTGGGAGGAAATTTTTGGAGGGGACAGATGTTTATGACCTAAATTGTGGTGATGGTTTCACAGGTATATACTTACCTCCAAATTCATTAAGCTATACGTATTAAATACAACTACTTGTATGTCAATCTTACAATAAATTAGTTTTTTTTTTTTTAAAGAATATTGGGAAGTACATAAAAGCTGTAAGAGGAACAGAGAAGCAAGTTTGGTGGACAGTAACCAGAATCCTGCTGCAGACCTGGTTGGGCGTAGACACTGCTGTGTTCGGTACCGTGGCAGGCACTATTGCTGCCAAGGACCCCAGGCTCTGAATGTGCTGCTAGAAATAAAATGCAGCCTCACTGCTACAACTTCCCATTAGTAGAAAAAGACTCTATATAGCCCCTGCTTCTTTGCAACCTTCCACTTTGATTCAGAATCTGAAGCAGGGGGTTTGGCCTAGCCAAAAGTCTTTGGCCATGCCAAGGGAGCTGCAAGGGAGCCTGGCGTCTTAGTCCATCTGGGCTGCTGTCACAGAATGCCATAGACTGGATAGCTTGTAAACAACAAAGGTTTATTTCTCGCAGTTCTGGAGGCAGGGAGTCTGAGATCGGTGAGCCAGCGTGGTCCAGTGAGCGCCCTCTTTCATGTAGCAGACTTCTCATTGTGCCCTCATGTGGTGGAAAGGGTGACCGAGCTCTCTGAGACCTCTTTTATAAGGACACTAATTTCATTCATAAGGGCTCTACCCTGTGACCTAATCACTCCCTAAAAGCCCTACTTCCAAATACTGTCACCTTGGGAACTGGGTTTTCAATATACAAATTTAGGGAGAATACAAACATTCCAATCTGGGTAAGGAAGCTTGGTCTTTTCAGCCTCCATAGTGAGATTCCAGTTCTGCTTCGGCGGGGATACCCAAATCCCCATAAGAATGGTAGGTCTAGGGGCACCTGGATGGCTCAGTCAGTTAAGTGTCTGCCTCTGGCTCGGGTCATGATCTCCGGGTCCTGGGACCAAGTCCTGCATTGGGCTCCCTGCACAGTGGGGAGTCTGCTGCTTCCTTTCCCTCTGCCCCTCCCCCCATTCATTCTCTCTCTCAAATAAATAAAATCTTAAAAAAAAAAACAAAAAAAAAAGAATGCTAGGTCTACACTGCCCTGCTCTACCTTAGCTTAACTTACCCTACTCTGTACTAAACTTTTCAAGCCCCCTCTCCACTTTGCCTCCCACTAGTCAGGCTCCAACTTAATAGCAAGCTGAAACCTCTCTACAGCTTCTATCTTCTACACACTTGCTATCCTGCTGCCTGAAATGCTCTTCCTGATACCACTATGTCCCATGGACTCCTCCTTATCCTCCAAGACTTAGCTAAAACATAACTTCCCCTATTAGACCAATTAAAGTTCTGCAAATATGCCAATTCCAGGAAATGAGTGTCCATCCAGATAAATTACTTTACCAGCACTAACCCTAAGTATCTGTTAATATCCTGATTCCGGTAGGAGGCCACTCAAAACCCAGGAGTCGGAGAGGAGCAAGGGAATGGTGAGGGAGGTCTCATGATCACTGGGTTCTCCTTCCCCCACTCCTTCCTGACACAGGCATTGTAATTTTACATCTGAGATCCTAAGATCAGATTTGAGTGGCTAGGAGAGATCCCTGCCTTGTGCCTGGTTGGCAAGGAGACTAGAGACTCAGAAAATCAAATAGCCCCATTTGCTAACTACTTATAACAAGTCTGCTCTTGTTTCAGACCAGAAGGAACTGGTGCCAACTAGGCTTCCCCCTATTATCCCAGAAGATGGGAATTATTCTGTGCACCAGAATAGCCACACAAGGTACCACGAAGCTGTAAAGAAGGTGTTGTTAAAGACATGTAAGTATTGAGCCTGGGTAGCTCCGTCAGTTAAACGCCTCCCTTTGGCTCAGGTCATGATCTGGGGCTCCTGGGATTAGGCTCCTGGGATCTAGCCCTGATCCAGCTCCCTGCTTGGTGGAAAGCCTGGTTCTGCCTCTGCCCCTCCCCCACTTCTCTCTCTCTCACGCATGCACGCGCACACTCTCAAACTCTTAAAAAAATTAAAGACATGAAAATATCTTAGAGTGGGCACCATGCTAGGGGCAGAATAGATATGCCTGAGTTTGTAAAGAACAACTGGGCTGTGATGGGGCATGGTTATAGGGGAGGGGGAAAAACAGCCCAGAAGGGAGACTGAGAAAAGGAGGGTGAAAGTAGACTTCAATGGTGGAGTGAGGAAGATAAAAGAAAAATTGAATCAGATTTGGAAGCAGAAGCTCCGTATTAGAGTCCCTAGTTCTGCCTCTATTAAGTGTCTTACTTTGGGTAGCCACATACCTTCTGTTAATCTGCTTTCTCATTCATTAAGAAAAAGAAAAAAATGCCCCCTCTACCAATCTTAAAGAATTGTTGTGAGGATCCCAACAAAATGAGATAGTTTAGGACAGTACTTTGTACAATATGTGCTATGCCTGTGAGGAGTGGTAGACCAAGCACTGGCTTTGGAATTTGAACTGAGTTTAAACTCCAAATAGTGTGACCTTGGGCAAGTCCCTTTAACCACTTAACTTCTCTGAACCACCTGAAAATGGGAATCACACTCCAGCATTGTTGTGAAAGTTAGAGAAAATGTACATTTAAAAAAGCATCTAGGACTACTGATGTATGCAACAACTTCTAGGAATCTTCAGGAAGTTATGCTATGCAGAGAATATAAATATATGAATTTATATAACATTGTTGGGGTTTTTTTAGATTATTTATTTATTTATTTGACAGAGAGACACAGTGAGAGAGGGAACACAAGCAGGGGGAATGGGAGAGGGAGAAGCAGGCTTCCCGCTGAGCAGGGAGCCCAGTGTGAGGCTCGGTCCCAGGATCCTGAGATCATGACCTGAGCCAAAGGCAGATGCTTAATGACTGAGCCACCCAGGCGTCCCCAGAATTTATATAACACTCTTAAAATGACATAATTATAGAAATGAAGAATACCAAACAGGGGCTAGGAGGACATGGCTATAAAAGGGCAACTCCTGGGGCACCTGGGTGGCTCAGTTGGTTAAGTGTCTGCCTTCCACTCAGGTCCCTATCCCGGGGTCCTGGGATCAAGCCCCGCATCAGGCTCCCCACTCAACGGGAAGCCTGCTCCTCCCTTTCCCTCTGCCTGCTGCTCTCCCTACTTGTGCTCTGTCAAATAAATAAATAAAATCTTTAAAAGCGGGGACCAACTCCCTTTCTCTGTTGGGGGAAATTGGGTAAGGCGTGCACCGGATATGTGTATCATTTCTCACAACTATGTGTGAATCCATAATTATCTCAAAATTAAGGTTTAATTTAAAAACTAAGATATTTTCAGAAATTTAAAAATACATATGGGTGGAGTATCTAAGAGTTACTCCTAATAGCAAATTGTTTTTAAGAGCTTATCAATCAACAGGGAAACAACTAAGTCAGAAATGTGCCACCTACTCAATGGTATATTACAGATTTGTTTTAAAATGATGATTATAAAGACTATATAGCCAGGATATTAGGCTATAATTCTAAGTTTAAAGAATACACAAATTTTATACAATGGTATAATTAGATTTATCCACATAGAGAATAAAAACACCAAAAATCTAGGTAAGTCTGATACTATTTTAAAATCTTAAGAACACCGAATACATTTAGAACATGATAGGCACTGGATAAATGAATCTACTAGCAGTATCTACAGATGAGGTGGTATCATTGCTTAGTTTCAGAGAATTACCAGAATGAGCAAAGGAAGGTACTTTTTCAGAGAAGGGGGAAGGGAAAGAGGATGATTAAGCCTGGGGGTAGGGAGTAGGGGAAGCCAGTAGAGTAGACCCATCTTGCACATTTCCCAAGTGAGCTGACCACCTGCTTTTCTACCATCTTACTAGCACTTGGGGAGGCTCTCTTGGAGATAGGCTTAGTAGAAGCAGGAAGAACCAAGATTGATTCAACTGACCACAAAGGGTGTGAGATGCTGGAATCCAGAAGTGAAGCTGGGTGTGGTGGCCAGAGTCCCAGGACTTCTCAGCACCTGATCAAGCCCAGTTGCTTGGTTGGGCTTGTGCTGCGGTGAGGCACTAAAGGGAGAAAGAACTTGAAGATACTGGATAACCTGTCCTTCCCCAACCATTTAGTCCCCAATCAGGTCTTCAGAGTCCCCTTGACTGATGCTCAGAACTTCAGCTTCTGGCGGTCCCATGATGCAGGCGTGTGCCCAGAGGAAACCATGCCGTGGATCCGAAGCCCCCGCCACTGCCTCATCAAAAGCCCAATGACCAGGTTAGGCTGGGATGGGTGAGGGTGAGGAGACTAAGGGAAGTCCTCCCTCCCTTCACTGAAATCCTTAGAGACTGTCTCAGCTCTTCTCAGGGAATAGAAGACAAAGTTTGGGTCTTACCAGGGATAGCTGGCCCCAGAATCCAGCGTTCAAAGGAGTTAAAGATCTGTTTGTATCTTTGTGTTTCACCTTGTGGCTGTGCCTTTTGGGGCAAGCACAAGATAAGTGTCTATAGCTTTCCTAGGGAAGTCCGGGGATGCCTCTGCTCCCTTCATGGCTGCCTCCCACCCTCCACAATCACCAGTCATTGACAGTAGCCATACTTCCTTATCACTGCCCTGCCCTTTCTGCCCTGAGGCAGTCTTGGGCAGATGTTTAACGACACCACCACACAGACCAGCCTGACCTGGCCGGATCTGAGACCCTTTCTCTCTTTTCCAGGTTCATGGATCACTCTGTTCTTAGTGACAGAAACTTCAGTCTATATTGAACAGAAGGGCAAGATGAACTGTGGAAGCAGAGCAAAGAAAGAGAAAGTGGGAGATGTCCTGGTTCCACTGACTAACTGGAGGAGGGGATCGTAAAAGCAGAGTAAACAAACTGGACTAGAAGTCACTTGTGTGCACTGGGAGTGAGGCAGAGGGAAGTCATTCTCACGCCCAAATTCCTGTGAGATCAGATGTATGCGGGCCCAAAGCTGGTGTTTGGGAGGAGCCAGGATACAGAAAAGACCACCAAGGGGGTCTTGACCTCACGAATGGCAGGTGTCAGAATAACAAGCCTGGGAAGACACACACTGGTGGTCATGATGCTGAAGGGCCTAGAGTAGTCATGCTCTCTGAAGACTGCAATTTCACCTTGGCAGCGAGAAAACCAGAAGAAGCCCTCTATCCACCGAAGGAAAAGGCCCACAGAGCCCTCCGGCAGGAGGCTGCCTCCTGTACCCAGCTCTGCCACTTCTGACCCAACCCAGGGCCCAGAACATCTTCAGAGAGCTAAGAATTTTACAAAGAATTTGATTTTATTGATATTTAAATATATTAAATATTTCACGGAAATACATGATACACCACCCTCCCCGCCCCCCCCACAGTGGTTACATTATAAAACCAAAGTCCATGGGCCTCCCATCCACTGACTTCCCCAACATCTGGTGAGAAAGGGGGTGATGGTAGCCCAGGAGAAGGGCATGGCTGGCACTGTGGTATGGGGAGTCAGGGTGTGGACAGGCCCCTCCCACTTGGCAAGAAGCAAAGACAAGTCACCAAAGACTGAGGTCTTCCCACTCTGGTCTCCTTACATCCTCACCCCACCCCAGGGCTCCAAGCATTCCCTTCCTATCCAGGGATATGGCTAGGGAAAGGAAGTTGATTTTCTGTCCAGACCAACTAGTCTTGCACCCTCCTCCTGCCATGGCTAATGAAGTGCCTGATGGCCCATTTGGTAGATGCATGAAGATCCCGCAGGGAGGCAGTATGACCCTAAACCAGGTCTCTGCAAGGAGCGGAAGTCTGAAAGGGCACGAGGAAGGGCAAAAGTACTCCCTACCCCTTCCATTCCCCAAACCCAGTAACTCTGGGACCCTCTCTCCTCTGTCTCTCTCACCACCTCCCAGACAAAATGATCTTCAAATGCAGGCTAATGGCTCTGGCTTAAATTGGTACAGACAGAGAAACCAAGGCACCAACTAATTCAGGCCTGAGGCAAGGAGGTTGCAGGGAAAGGAGTAAAAGGAAGGCAGATATAGGAAGGGAATCTAGAGTCCGACCTTCCAATCCTCCTCCTAGCCCTTACAGGCTTCATGGGGACTGGGAAGCCAGGAACATGCTAGACTGAGATGGAAGGCTGCGGAACGCCAAGTTTCAGGTTCCCTTGCCCCACCCCCTAGTACCAGTATCTGCGTCCTCAGAGAGACCCCATGCTACCTCAGTCCCAAAGTATGCCATCAGCTGGGGAACCCAGGAAATTCCTGAGCCTCTGCCCACCAAACCCCAGACAGTTCAAGTGCATGGAGCACTGAGGCTCAAGCAGGCACTTGGGTCCCTGCCTGAGGCAGGGAGACAGTCGTGCTGCACATGCGGCCCCCAAATGGCACTTAGGGATTTGGCACAAAAAGGACTGCTCTCCCCAGGGGCACCTTCCTCTTGCTACCACACCCCATGCCACTCCTGTGCAACCTAGGCATCTCTCTTCATCCCTTGAAATCAGAAACCCTGCCTTATTCCCAGAAGACAGAGGCCCACAGGAGAGAGGCAACCCCAGGTGGAGAGCTGAGGAGGAGCACAAGGACACACACAGACCTGGGAAACAGATACACACACAAAGGCCAACATGCACACACATTACACAGACACACAGGCCCTCCCCAGGGCCAGAGACTTGGGAGGACAGGTTTGTGATCAGGGTCATCCTCCTCCATGCCCTGACCCTTTTCTATTTGGCAGCAGAATGGGTAGAGATGCTCTGTGCCCCCTTGCCAGCAGACTGCAAGAGAGCACGGGGGCAGAGGTACCTGATCATGACCCCAGGGGGGGCCCTGAGATCAAGAGTCTGGTACCACCCCACTCCCTGGCTGGCCTGCTCTCTTTGGCACCTGCAGGTGAACTTTCAACTCCTGATCTTCTGAATCCCCACACATATGCTTGCTCTCTGGCTGGGCATTTTCACAGTACCAATGAGGCCAGATGCCCCTGTCCCTGGAGCTGTGCAGGAACCGGGGCTAAATCTGAGCTGTCAAAAGTCCCTTTGTTCCCCTTTGGGGACAGATCATGGGACTAAGATTTGGCAAATGGAGACATTCTCCTGAAATACGGACAGAGCTGGGTCCCCAGAGCATCTCCCTCCTCCGCCCTGTGTCTAGGAGGGAGACCTTACTGGGGTGGGGTACCCAAGGCCAGTGCTGGGGATGCAGGCATAGCAGAGGCAAGCATGGAATAGGCACTCCTCATGCCTGCCCCAGTCTTTGTACAAAATATTCCCAGGAAAAAGAGGGAAAAGAAGGGCCCAGCCCTGAGTCTGTTGCCCAGACAGACAGGGGAAGGACAGGCATGACAAGCTGCCATTTTAATCCCTCAGGCAGGAGGGCTCCTGCTGCCTCTGTAGCTGCTGCCTCCCCTGCTCCCAAGAAAGGAAGAAAGAGGCAACAGTCCTCTCCCAATTAGAAAAGTAAAGTCACTTGCATAATCCTCTTGGTATCCCTTGTTCACCAGCCTGAGGGCAGACAAGCGAGCGTGGTCCAAGCACAGCCTGCTGGGGTGTTCCCTTTCATGGTCAGCAGGGTCTGGAGGCCCGGTGCCCCCTGCCACAGCTCCTCCCAGCGAGCACAGAGTCCACTCAGATGCCCACCTTGGTCCTGACAGCTGAATCGGTAGCTGGACCCTGCTAACTGGGGGGGCCCCCATTGAGGAAGTAGGTGGTCATCTCCCCCTTGCCCTTCACCTTGACCACCCCTCGACACTCCAGCTGGTAGCCTTTGGCAGCTAGAACCTGGTACAAGTCCGTGGTCACCTGGGGAATGGGAAGGGAACCCATTTAGCCTGGGATCCTTCCTGCTACATTTGCAGGGGTCCAGGGGTTCTCTAATCATGCTAGTCCCCCCCAAGCCCCACCCCCAACCACAGAACACTACCACCCTACCCCTGTCCTCGCTGACCTTAGAGAGGGACCTGTAGAAGCCCTCTGGACCCATACCCTTCCTAGCCTCTGCTCACATCCCCCTCACCTGGATTCGGTCAGGGACACCCGTGCTGTCCATACGGCTAGAGACATTCACTGTGTTCCCCCAGATGTCATACTGCGGCTTCCGAGCCCCAATGACGCCTGCCACAACTGGGCCCATGTTCAGCCCTGCAATGGGAACAGCAGCAAAAAACTGAGAGTAATGGACATTCCAGGGTCAGCCGGGGGAATCCTCCCACCTCCTGGAACTTTTAGAAGGACTGAGAGAAAAAAGTGACAAAGCGACAAGTGTCCCGGTTGTAAAGAATGGCAGAGCTGGGCATGTCCCAAGAGCTCCCCCGAGTTGAGACAGTTATTGCCGTTAACAGTAGCTAAATCCACTGAATGCTCGCTCTGTGCCAACCCCTCTGGGAAGCATTTTGCATGCCAGTATTTCATCCCCTCAACAGCCCTAAATGGTACGTATCATCCCCATTTTACAGCCAGCCTTAGGACGCAATGTGCTAAATAAGCCAGTAAGTGGAACAGCCAGAATTCAAACCAGAGTGATGCTGGTAGCCGCTCCTCCCGCCCACCAGCTCCCAGCTCAGGCGAGAGGAAGTGCCTCTTATCAGACTGGCCATAGGGAAGGGCACAGGTACTGGAGCTTAAATAAACCTGGTTTTGAATCTCAGGGTAGTCCCCTCCCAGCTGTTTGACCTTGGCCAAGTTATTCTGAGTGTCAGTCTCTGTCTGTCAAAGGGGATGATAACATGAAGATTAAAATGTCTAGGACAGTACCTAGCACACAGTAGGCCCTTAACAAATGATCTCCATTCTAAACATGAGACGAGACAAGAGGTGGGAGAAAAGGACATCCCAGAGGATTCCTGACGGGGCATCCAGGATGCCATGCGTCCCTGGCCCGCTTCCTTGGCCTCCCCCAGACACAGCCCTGGGACGAGCTGCCAGGCAACCAGGCCATCTCACCAATCTTCATCTGGAAATTGTTGAAGGAGTGCTCGTTGATGTGTTTCATCTGCTCCATGAGCCGCATGGCATAGTCTGCCAAGGCAGTGATGTGGGAGCGGCCGGCCTGATCGTAGGTGCTGGCGTTCAGTCCTGAGGCCGCCATGTAGGTGCTCCCGATCGTCTTGATCTTCTCCAGCTGCCGGAAGCGCTCCTCGCTGATGATCTGCATGGCACAGGGAGGCCGCACTGTGTGGCAGAGCGGCCAAGCACACGCACCCTGCCCCACGCTCACTCCTGCCCGGCCTTAGCCTCCTCTCCCTACCCTGTTTCAGCAGCTTCCCTCCTTTGAGGGAGGGAGCCCCCGCCTTCCAGCTGCTGTTCTCAAGGCAGGACAGAGGCACCAGGAGCGGAGGCCTCTTCACCAGGCAGTCCGCAGAACCCCTGGCCAGGACTGGTGCTCACAGCTTGGCTCAGCTGCACGAGCTCCCTCACAGAATCCAGAACTCCAGAAGGGCTATTAGCCATCAGGCACTCTGACTGTCACTTTATGAGGAACTGAGCGCCAGAGTGAAGAAGTGCCTTGGCCCCAGAACAGTCAGGAATGGCCCCTTCCTGACCTGGATATTCAGGACACCCCCTCGGGCTTGCTTCCATTTTCTCTATTCGGGGGCCCATCTTGCTTCCTCGGGCTCATGGGGTTCTGCCCATAGATTAATGCATCCTCCTTCAGTAACATCACCTGGTACCTAGCCTGTTCTCTCCACAGATCCTCAGGTCTTTGCTCCCCAGCAGTGACAACCCTGCCCCAGTGAGGCCGACCTTCTTGCCGCCTCAGACACCTGGTGGGTCTTCAGCCTTGTCTCCACTGTATCTACCCTTACTCTGACCCCAACATCTCTGGGTCCTGTCAAAACTCCCTTCCCCCTCAGCCACCCCTCCAATCCTGGCCTTCCCATCCAAAGTTCTCCCCACTCCCCTAATCCCCCCAGCTGCTCCACAAGCAGCAGCCAACCAGACAAGTACCTCATCAAAGTCAGCAATGATCTCATTGAGCAGCCGCAGGCACTCGACGCCCTCATTGTTTGCCTCCAGCTCCACATAGAACTCAGAAAAGTTGGCAATGGAGGCAAACATGACGGCCACACATTCACACGACTGGTAGTAGAGCTCATCGTTCCGACGCTCCCGGGCCAGGAAGTGGGCAGCCACGTCCTTGGGCAGAATGTTATGCAGCAGCCTCCGGTTGTATGCCTGCAGTTCCTCCATCTCCTCCTTCTCCCCTGTTGCCTGTGGA